TAAATAATAATAAATCACTTTTTTTGTTGTCGTTGTTGTTATTGTAAAACTAAATTTTATAAAAAATATAAAAGAAAAAAAAAGAGAGGGGAGGGGGGGGGAATTACCCAAAAAGTTTCACAAGACAAAATTTTCTAATGTTTCTCTTATGTAAAAAAACTGAAGGACAAATATAAAAACTCTTTGCTGTGCCTTTTTTTTCTCTCTCTCTCTCTCTCTCTCTCACTCTTTCTCTCTCTTTTAAAAAGCAGAAAACTTTTTTTTTTAAAGTTAAACAAAAAAAACATATGTTTTAGTTTAAATTTTTTATGTTTAAAAAAAAAAAACCGTTGAAACTAATTAATTTTTGCCCCCGAAAAAAAAAAAAAAAACTCTAACAGAGATTTTGTTTACAAGGTTTTTAATTATAAATAAAAAAATTTAAACATTGAGGAATAGAAAGTGTAAAAATTTTTTCCCGCCAAAATTAAATCATTTTAAATTTACCAAAATAAAAATGGAATCCATCTTTTTTTTTCCGTTAAACCTCGACCGGATTTTAATTTACTTTTTGTTTGTCTTTTAATTTTTATCAGGTCGTCCTCCAGCGGTAGTAAAACTAGAAGAAGAAGGACAGCATTTACAAGCGAACAATTATTAGAATTAGAAAGAGAATTTCATGCAAAAAAATATTTAAGTCTAACGGAAAGATCTCAAATAGCATCCACGTTAAAATTAAGCGAAGTTCAGGTGAATACAATTATTATTATCATCATCATCATCAATGACGTCATTAATTACGTAATAGAAAGATAGGAAAGGTCGATGATGGTATATAAAATTTTTTGTTTGCAAACAGGTGAAAATATGGTTTCAAAATAGGCGTGCCAAATGGAAAAGAGTTAAAGCTGGTTTAACATCCGCGAGTGCGGGTAGGAGTAGCGGAGGACAAACAGGAAATGGTACTAAAATTGTCGTACCCATACCTGTACACGTCAATAGATTTGCCGTTAGGAGTCAACATCAGCAATTGGAAAAATGCGGTCCCGGTTTTTTATATTTAGGCGGTTTGTCATCTCGTAATAACGTTGATAATTCAACAACCACGAATTTTGGCATAACAAACGCAAGATAATTTTTTTTTTTTAGGTTACTAAATAAATATATATATATAAGCAATAATATCACATGTGATATTCCCTCTCCTTTTCCCCCTCTTTCCTCCCCTCACAGCCCCTCCTCCTCCCAAAAAAAAACCATTAATTTATTAAACCGATGCCAAAAAAATAAAAAAAATATTTATATCGCAATAATTTTGCAACGATAACAACAATTTGTATGTTTTCTTTCTTTTTTTTTGTAAATGTTAATAATAATAATAATAATAATAATAATAATAGTAATAATAATAATAATAATAATAAAGCTATTAATTATATACGTTGAAAACGAGGGGAAATAAATTAATAATGATAATTATAACAAGTTGAACAAAATGAAAAGAAAAAAATTTTTTTTTTTTTTTAAACGTTAAAAAATTTTAATTTTCGGTTAATTACGAAACAAACAAACAAACAAACAAACACGCGCAGTTTTTTTTGCGTTTTAACTTAAAATTTGCAAAAAAAAAAAAATCGAAAATATATTATTATTGCCAATAAAACAAAAAAAAAAAAAAAAGTTTGATTTCTAATTTTTTATTCTAACTATGATTTTTTTTTTTATCGATTTATCATCGATTTATCGATTTTATTTATTTTTTACATTTTCTGAAAAACAAAAAAAAAATAGAAAAACATGTAAAGAATATTTAATAATTATAATAATAATTAATAATTTATTCTAAACGGAATTAAGTAGCATAATTTATGATTCGAAATCAAAAAACAAAACAAAAAAAAAATTTTTTTTTTTTTCAATTTGTTGCTCTTTTCCCCCTCCCTCTCTCCTCCCTCTCCCTCTCCCATCGCTTTAGCATAACGACGTATGTTAAATTCAATAATAATAATAATAATAATAATAATAATAATAATTGTAAAAGTTTTTTTAAAAAAAAATTTAAAATAATAATCTTCCCCCCTTTTGTTATCCATAAGCCCTAAAATAGGAGGAACCAAAATCTGATATCCAGTAATTATCGATGATTAATCGAAATGTTTGCATGCGTATTATTATTATTATTATACGTAGGAAAAGGGTGGCGGAAATTTTATTGTCTTCCTTTCCCTTCCATTTACTAAAAAATTTTTACCAAAAAAAAACAAACTAAAGTGTATCAAACAAACAAACGAAATTTATCCGTTTTTTTTTTTTTCCACTTCGAAAAAAAATTTAGTTAATTTAATTAATGAATGAAATGTAACAATTTTGTCGTTGTTTTGATGACGTCATAAAATTCGTCTTGTTGTCTGTTATTTTCGATTTGTATTTGTGCGATTCGTTAAAAAAAATTATAAATTTGTACATTAAAAATGTTTCAACCAACGACAACAAAAACAAATTTAAACGACATGTTCGTGTTTGTGTGTGTGTGTGTGTGAGCGCGTGCGTGTGTGAAACGTGATAGATTTAAAAGAAAAAAATTTTTATTTAAAACATCCCAAAAGTCACCCCAATTATTTGCCCTTCAATAATAATTCCCGGATTTAATTCTGGAATAAAAAGTTTATACTCGTCATTTTTAACCTTTTGTCGTCCGTCATCTCTTTAGAAATTTTTTTTTTTTTTTTTTTTTTTTTTAAATGGGTGGTCTCGTCCCCAAAACCATTGATACCTTTTTCCATTATTATCATTATCATTATCATCGTCGTCACCATTGTTAGTCGATACATATATTTATTTATTTTTTTTTTTTATAAATAGGATAAATAATGTATATATTTTATTTTTCTATTTTAACATCACGTAAGATTCGGGAGGAGTCATGGAAAAATTAATTTTTTTTATTTATTATTATTATTATTTACGTCGTCGTCGTTGTTGTTGTTGTCGTTATTGTTGTTATTGTTTGTTTGTTGTTTTCGTTTTTGTCCATGTCAAAATATCGTTCGAACGCATTTATTTCACACGTGAGAATAAAAAAAAAATAATAATAATAAAAACTATAATTTAATAAAAATATTATAACTATTTAAGAAAGGTCGCTGACCTGATACAAGACCTTTCATCACATTTTATTTATTTACAAATCACGCATAAATACAAACAATAATAATAATATTAATAAAAATAAAGCAAACAAAAGCAAAATTTATTAATAAAATAAAAAAAAATAATGATAATTCTTTATATACGATAGATCGATCGATCGAATCGATGAGACCTTGAATTCTCAGGAGAAGAAAAAAAAAAAATTTTTTTTTCTCTTTACTCACCCGCAAATTTTCGACATGGATTTCTCCATGTCGGTGAACAAACAAAAACAAACGACAAACAAAACATTTGTTGAGATTTAAATCCCAAATGATTATTTATAATCTCATATGGGATTTATTTCACGTTTGGAAACACCAAAGAAAGAAAATTTTTTTAAGTGTTTTTCCCCCCGCAAAAATTTCCTTTTCGAATTTTTCCTCCCCCTTCCCTCTTTTTAAATTGACCCCCTCCCCCGGTCAAAAGGTCACCCTAACCTAACAAAAGATTTTATTTTTTTACAAATGTTAAGTCACAAAATTTTGAACCGTGAAAATAAAAAGGTTTTCGATACAACAACAACAACAACAACAAAAATCTTAAAACTTTTAATTTTGTGATTAAATTCAATCAATCAATCAATTAAAAATTTAACCCCTTATAATTAATTTTACTAAAAATTTAACGTTAACGTGTTTGTAATCCTTGTTAAGTAAATCTTACATTTGCAAATAGATTAGGGGTTGAAATGTTTTTTTTTTTATTATCACCACCGCCGCCGCCGCCGCCGATAATCATTTTAGAAATTTAGTTAAACCCATTTTAAAAGGGAAGGCAAAAAAAAAAAAAAAATGAAATAAAGTCAAAAGAGAGAGAGAGAGAGCGAAAGGGGGTGGAAGAAGAAAAAAAGGAATATTTAAATTAAATTAAGAATGAATACGATTTGAATATTAAATCAAAAAAAAAAGAGGAAAAAACATTTTAGATTATTATTATTATTATTATTATTATTATTATCTATATCATTATATAAGAAAAACATGGGGAAATATTTTTTTTCAGTGGTGATATTATTTCAATATTGCTGGAGAAATGAAAAAGAGAAAGAGAGAGAGAGAGAGAGTGGAGGGTTTTTGTCGGTTTGTATTTTTTTCCCATAAGGTAAACATAAGGAGAAAATTTCAATTGGGAAAATATAAAAGTTTCCAGCTTTTAAGCGCCACCCGCACTTTACGGTCCTGATTTTGGCCTTTCCAATTTCCAGCACTGTTGGAAACCACTTTTTGAAATTTCATATTTTTAACCCGTCTCTCCCCCTCTCCCTACTCAAACCTTCTCTTTTTTTTCTCCCTTAACAACAACCTCCTCACCACTTCTCCCTCCCTCTCTCTCTCTCTCTCTCTCTTTTTCTCTATCTCTTTTTCAACATTTTTTTTCTTTTCTCCTTTTAAACATATATTTGCCAAAACATTATAAAAAATATTTTATTATTATTATTACATATATTTATGTATGTACATAAGAATACATAAAATTGCAATCTAAGTTAAAAAAAAAATTTATTAAAAGAAAGAAAGAAAAAACTAATAATAATAATAATAATTTCCTTTTATTCAAAACCATTGTCTATGTGTGTGTCTATGTGTGTTTGTGTTTGTTTGTTTGTTTGTTTGTGGGTTGAATTTTTCGCCAATCTTATAAATTTATTATTAATAAGCACAATAAACATTGTTTTTTACTTTTTTCTTTCTTTCTTTCATAGAAAAAAAAAAAAAAAAAAAATTGAAAATCAGCAAAATTTATTAAATTACATTCTTGTGTGCTTTTAGGCTTCCTTACTTATTTATTTTTTTTTTTCTATTATTTAAATAAATAATTTTTTTTTTTGCGCAAATAATCAATCATTATTTATAGAAATAAAATATCGTAATATTATTATTATTATTATTATTAATCACACACACGCAAAAATGTTATTTCGTAATAATACAAAATGGCGGAATGATCGAAACGTGAAAATTCTTATTGTTTTTTTTTCTTTAAATTAAAAATATTAACGATTTAATAATATTATTTTATTTATTAAATTTGTTCTTTATTATTATTATTATTTGTCATCTTACATGAATTTTTTCCGTTTGTTGTTTGTTTGTTTGTTTTGCGAAATAAGAAAAAAAATTATTTTGTTGTAAATGTAAATACGAATTTATCAATTTTTTTATTTATTTATTTATTTTGAAATATTATTTATAACAACAACAACCACAACAACAGCAAAAAATAATAATAATAATTATTTATATAATTCTCACGCAATTATTGTTTATTATTATTATTATTATTGTAAGTATAAATTTTTATGTCTTGATATAATATAAAAACAATTTTTTTTTTTTTTTCGTTTCCACTTTACGATCGAAATAAAAAAGAAACAAACAAACAAACAAACAAACAAACGTTTAAAGTAATTTAAAATTTTATTACTTTATTTAAATTTTTTTTATTTCATTATCATCACACGCACAAAAATCAAAAAGAGAGAGAGAGAGTGTGTGTGTGTGTGTGAGGAAAAAAGAAAGAAAAATTGTTGATGTGTTTGTTGTTGTTGTTTAAAAGTTAAATAAATGAAAATTTTTTTTTTTTTTCACCCCGAAAAATTAAATATACCCCCATTTAAAGTCGTCGGGGGGGGGGGAACAAAAAACCCTCTTACGTTACTGATGTGGCGTATCAAATTCAGTTAACAGTCATAATAAAACCGTTCGAGTGGCAATAGAGAGAGAGAGAGAAAATCCGTACAAATTCATATGTGTTCTCTCTCATTCTATCGTTACGGTTTTATACATAATAATTCGTTTCAATCATTTATTTTTTTTACAAAAAAAGCTTTTGTAAAAACATGATAGATCTAATTCGTAACCGACAAATTGCCATTTTTTTCTTTCTTTCTTTTCTTTTCTTTTCTTTTCTACCGTCTCGAAATTGCCTTTTGTCGGGATTTCCATTTTCTTTTATTGCAAACCTCTTAAGATCATACTGGCAAACAAACGGGGAAGAAAACACCAACCCAAAAATCATTTTTAAAATTACTAAAAATTTAAAAAATTAATAATAATAATAATAATAATAATAATAACAAAGAAATGGTTAGTAAAAGAAAAATTTCGTTACAAAAATAAATTTGTTTCATGAGAGAGAGAGAGAGAGAGAGAGAGAGGGGGGGCGTTGTTGAATGGAAAACAAATCAAAAACCACAAACATTTTGGGGATCTTTTTTTTTTTTTCGTGACACAGCTTTATTTTGGTATCACTTAAGAAAAAGAAATTTCTTTTTATTTCGGGGGGTGGGGGTGGGGGGAGGAAGAAAAAAGAAAAGTTTTCTTCTCTCTCTTTCTCGAAAATAGTATTGTAAAAATGTTGTTGTTGTTATATAAAATAAATAGCCCTACTCGAAATAGTCATTTACAAAGAAAATCTTTTCTTTTTTCTTTTAAGGATTTTCCTCAAGTTATTTTTATATTTCATGATCTATATAAAAAAAAAAAAAAAATTATTTTTAAAATAATAAAAAAAGAATCAAAGTTGATGAAAAAAATGAGCTCTTTATAAACTTATAATTACGTGTGTCATTAACCAGTGTAATTACACCGCCATTTTGTTTTTTTATTTTACGGTTAATTATTTTTTTATTTATTAAAAAAAACAAAATGGTTTCGAATTGAAACAAGTCAACTAAACGTCACAAAGAAAAAAATAAAATAAATTATTAAAAGTAAATTTTATCGAATCGATATCTCGAACGTAAGTAATAACAAGGTTTATCTGTGTCATATAACATGTTCAAAAATTTCCATCACGCAACTTATTATTATTATTATTATGTGTGATCATTATTATTCTTTTATCGAAAAAAAAATCGAATCGAATGAAACGATACTCGAACGCGCGCCTAAAATAAATATAAAAATTATATGGGAAATGGCGAAAAATTGTCTTCCCGACAACATCATTTATGTGAAAAACGGGAAAAAGAAGTCAAGGGAATAACATAATAACATAACATAATAATCATGAGTAGGATTTCTAATGGAGCAAACATTTCAAAACAAACGGAAAATAATAATAATAATAATAATAATAAGGGGGAGAAAGGTTTTCGGGAGAAAGTTTTCTCTTTATTTTTTAGAAAGTAGGCGGTGGGGGGAGGGTTGGGGGAAGGAGGAGGAGGAGGAGGAGGGAGGGGAGGGAAAAAAGAAAAGATTTTCGGTGAAATGAAAATGGGAAAAAGAGAATCGTTGGAAATTATGGGCGTGTCAAAGCTGAGATTGGAGCAAGACTAATCGCGTTATATTCTAACACCACAATCTCATCCTTGTAGTAGAGTAATAATCGTTCAAGTTGAAAGAAAATTACACCGAATCAGTGCCGTATTAAGAAAAAAAATTTTAGCATTTACCGTCGGAGGGGGATTAGATTATACGTTATTAGAAAAAGCAGTCGAATTGTTTATAAAATGTTTTTTTCTTTAAACAAATTTTAACTTTTTATTAAGTTAACACAACACCTTGTTTCTCACATAATAATAATAATACTTTTTACATAATTTTTACCACCACTAATCTCTATTTTTAAGTGGAGAATTTGAAAAAGGATAAAAATTACTAATTGCAACAGATTTTTTTCATTTTTCAGGTATTATTCTTATACATGATGTATAAAATTATAAACTTTTTAGTTATTTAACTGAAAACAAATTACAATACAACAACTCATGGCTGAATATCAACAAATTTCTGAACAATTAAGAGCAGTAAACTGCACAAAAAATAAAAGTAAGTATAGAAATACTTATTTAATATTAAATCAATTAATAACAAAACTAACTAACAACCATCACAAGCAAAATTTAAAATTTTTATTTATTTATTTACATGATCAACAACTAATAACTGCCAATTTTTAAAAATGAAATGTTATTAATCATTTTTTTTTTTCATTTCAGGGCCAAATAAGAATAACCATTGGCAGGTAAGTTTAATTTTACATCATTAAAACTTTTTATTAACATTAATTATGTTAAATTTTAATTATTTTAATCAAATCACTTTACAAAGTGACAAAGTTAAAAATTTTCATATTTGCACATTATGCAGAATTGTTTTTTTTTTATGATAAAGTGTTATGACTTACATACTTACATGCCACAAAGAGAAATTTTTAATGTCTCATGAGAATACTATCATAAAAGTAACATCTGTTAAAAATGTTTTTCTTTAAAAAGTATAAACTATTTATGGTTGTTACCTATTCTTCCTGGAACTTGAAATTTTCTTGTGAATTCTATGTCAGTTTAAACATTGGGAGAATGTGTGTAATGTTGACACACTACAAAACATTTCTTTGTGTACCTGTTTAAAAAAAAAGTATATAATTTGTTATTTCTAATCAAATAACATCAAAACATTTCCTTATTATTATTGTAATTTAACTAAAAATAAAAAAATTCAGGTTTTTCTTACTAAAATGTGGAGGCAAATGAGTAGTAGTGGACGGTTTGAGTATAAAAATCCAGACATAAATTATTTATTGTTATTTAATTAGTTTAAATTGTGCTTAAATATCCTTTTTACTACACTGTTAAACAAAAAAAAAGAAAAAAGAAAAAAAAAACTGTCAAATCAAATCACCCTAAAAAAAAAAAAAAAAAATTTTCAAACAAGCGGGAGGAAAAAACGTCAAACGAATTTTTTTTTTTTTTTTGAAGCGTGGAAGTAGAAAAGTTAAATGCACGCGTAAAAGGAAAAAAAAAGCACAATAGAAAGAAAGGAATGGCGGGAAAAAAAATAACAACATGAAAACCATAGGAAAAGTCAAAAATGAAATTTTCTTTTAACAAAAGATTCATTCATGTGTTAAAAATTTGAAATTTCAACCAAGCTAACACAATAACAAAAAAAAGAAAGAATTAAAATGAGGAGCGTGGCTTTTTCTCTCTCGTGGGTTTACTTTATATTTAAATGAATTGATTTTACCCCATTAAATGATTTGTTATTTATTTTTGTTAGACATATTTATAAAAAAAAAAACTTTGACACATCATCTTTTGCCTTTTTTCTCATATCAGATCTTTAAATTTTTTTCAATTTGTCATTAATAATAACACAAAATTTCTTTTTTTTTTAATAACTTATCTATTCTTGTTGGCCATCTTTTCTATCAGTCATATTTTTTCTTTTTTTTTCCCAATAAATAATTTTACTCATCATTTTATTTATTATTATAATTAATATTTGATAACAATGCCAACCAACTGTTGATATTTGCTTTGTCTCTTTCTCTAGAATTTTCTATTAAATAAAAAAAATAATAATAATAATAATAGGAATATAAAGGAAAAAAAAAATTCTGCTTAATATTTTTTAAATAATAATTAAGTAATTATTTTTATTTTTACATTTTTAAGTTAAATTATTTTTACAGAAGAAATTTCTAATTATTATTATTATTATTATTAATTTTAGGCACGTTAATTCTTTAATTAAAAGAATATAATAATAATAATAAATATTAATCCAACAAAAAAAGAAAAAAAAATTACTTAGATTTAACAAAAAAAAAAAAAAAAAAAACTTTTTATTGTACTTTGTTAAACGTAATCATTTTCATTTACAAAACTCGAAGAAAAAAAAAAAAAAAATTATTACCAGAATTATCATCATCATCATCATTATTATTATTATTATTATTGTACTTAATATTTTTAAAGTAAAAAAGGGGAAAAAAATTTAGTTTTTTTATTCTCAATTAATTGTATTGTGTAAGTTTATTTTTTTTTTTAAAGATTTTTTTCTATAACAGTTTTAATCATTTTTATAAATTAATAATATTAATAATTAATAATAAATAATAATAATAATAAATAATAATAATAATAATATTTATTGTACATTTAAGAAAATCAGCTTTTTTGATTTGATCTCGTTTGATCACCAACATTGTTTGAATTCGCGGATTGACAACCATCATTTCCTTCATTTCTATTATAATTATCATCATCATCATCGTCGTCACTATTATTTTTTTTTTCGTCAAATTTTTTAGGCACTTCGTTATCAATTGAATTTGAATTATTGTGATAATTTGTTGTTTTTTCTTCGTTATTAATCCTTTCATTTTTTATTTTATTTCCACCTTCTTCCCTTTTCCCATCTGCAGAGAGAGAGAGAGAGAAAATACAAATTTACTTTAAAAAATTTTTTTTTTTTCAGACATTTTCTTCAATAATTATATTAAACTTACGAGGAGTTTTTAACATATCATCAGACTCTAAATTTTCTCTATCGAATTCAGTATTTTCTCTGTATTCTTCTGAAGATAAATGAGATTCTAAAAAAATATATATTTTTTTTTTTATCCCGTTTCAGGAAAGAATATAAATTTTACATGACGTAAGTTTTATATAAAAAAAAAAGTTATAAAATATATAAATACCTGAATCAGAATTTTCACTAATATCAGTCGTTAATTCAAGTTTTGGTGCTTCCGGCCTAAGTTTTCTAGCTGGGTTGTAGAAAAAGCAGTAGCAACATTTAAAACCTATATATTCAAACTCTTCTTTTAATGCCATTCCATTGTGTGAATGACACTGAGAGCATATTAAAGCATATCTGTTGTTAGGACCATCTCCGATTAAATATTCAACTAATTTATCCACATAACTTCTATTGGGGGAAAGTATGGGAGCAGGCATTCTCAACATGGGTTGTTCTTTTCAATTTAAAAAACAAAAAAGTTACATTACATGATTGAACCATATTTACTTTTTTTTTTTTTTTTACTTTATTTAATTAAAAAATTACCTCTCATAACCCTCATGTTATTTGTACTGGTAAGTAAACTGGCCGTTGACACTGGCTGTAGTGAATTACCTGGATTTTTAACAAAAGGACTTGGTGGAATTGCACTTTTAACACCAGGTATTATTCTTTGCCTAAGATTTGGAGTTATTTGTACAGGAGTCTGAAAATTTATCAAATGAATTATTATTATTATTAAAAAGTAATTCTATAAATAAATCATTCTAATAAAAAATTGTCATCGCCAGTAAGATCCGGACAAATAAATTCAAGAATGTCCTTCTTAAACATATATATATATATATATTATTTTCTGATGGATTTTTCCTGAATAACTTTGTTTGTGACATATAGACTTGTATTTTTAAATCTTTTATTTCCTCTCATTACATCAACTATTACAACACTTACAAACTAACTTGCTACATTATGTTTCGGGTATTTATAGAAATAACTACTGTTTCCATAAATCGGTTTGAACACATATTAAAGGTTTGATTATAAGAAATAACAGATTACCTTTAAAATTGGATTAGGTGTTACTTCTTTAGAAAATTTTTCCAAAATTTCTTTCGCTTTATTATAAGTCTCTTTCTCCATGACTTGATCTAAAATAGCCTTTTTTTCTTTTCTCATTTTTTCTAATTTTGCTTGATTTTTTTTCACTATTCTTTTACAATACCATGAACTGAGATTGTTAATAAATTTAAAACTAAAATTATAAAATATAAATAAATAAATAAATAAAATTAACACACTAAAAATTACTTTGATGTAATAAATTAAATACTATATATAATGCTTACATTAAAAGAAAAACACAAAATACTGCTATCAACTGTAACTTGTCTTTTAATGTTTGACCATAATAGAAACATATAACAGCACATACTAGCCAAGCTACAACACAAATTATTAATAAAATCTTTTTTATTTGTTCATGTTTTATTTCAATTGTAGCTT